TATGGTGAAAGAAAAAAATCATTTTATTTACCACTTAAAATAGGATAAGGTGTATAAGAAGAAAGTGTTAAACAAGAACTAAGGCATTGTAAGCGGACTCTCCGTCAATCTGCAGATAGTGGTACTTTGAGCTAAATGTTAATGTGGTTATTTTAACGATGGCAGGGAGCGAGCATACAAAGGTGATGCAGACAAGAAGGGAACAAACAGACTAAATACACAAAATATAAGGCACAGGCTGTTGGAAAAAAGAAGAAAAGGCGGAAGCAAACTGCTTGAGGAACTAACCTTCAAAATAAAACAGGATGGAAAACACAAACTGAGACCATATGATGCATGTGATGATTCATATTTACCAATAATCTAAAAATAGCCCTAAAATTGGAAAATCCCATGCTTATGATGCTAAATGTTCTACAAACCTCCCTTAAAATTCAACACCACAAGTTTTTGATCTAGTAACGGATCGCAAAACAAAGGTTTCAAATACAAATAAGCTGTATACTCAGGGAGGGTAAATGCAAAACTGAAATGTTTTCTCAGCACTTTTTTCCTCCTGTGCATTTGTGAGTGTGCGCCACAGCTGGTGGTCCTCACCTGATCGGTTGTCTTGGCTTCGAAGCATCACTTCCTCCACACAGTCAGAGGGAAACCATCCCGTGCGACCTCTGACCGTCCCCTCCCAGTAACCGCCCTCGCCAACACTCAGCACTAAAGACGGGTACAGGGAAGAGAAATGTGTTAAGAAAAAAAAAGGTGACACAACCGACACAAACACACACACCGATGAGAAATGAACGCACACAAAAAGACAACAAGTACAGACGGAAAAAAACATAAATGTGGACACACACATGGACATGCAAACCTCCTACATACTCACCAAGACATACATACCTGGCGACACCTTAGACTCACTCACAAACACACACATATTCATACCTGCAGACATTAAATACAAACATATATAGAGACCTTACACTCATGTCAGGACAGGACCATCTAACAAACTCATCTGACGACACTGTGGACTGGATTTGGATTTGGCCCACGAGACAGAGAAGCTGCCTTTACAGCAGGGCCCTCATTTGTAAAACACTCACGGCTCAAAGCAAAAAAACACTTATAAGCAGTTATTTATAAAGCCATACTTTGATGAGGAAATGAGCTCATCTCTGGGCAAAGTCGGAGCATTGCATTCGCCAGCCGCAGATTTTGTCTTTGCTGCAACACGCTATCGAGCTCTTTGTCAGGCAGTCCTTGGAGGTTTCATGGCAGTTCAGGAAACAGTCACGCCCTTAAATCTATCGATTTGTGTTTCTGGACATGAATCTGGTGTTCATGAATCTGTCTGTGCATGTTCAAGTATATGAGCTTATTATTTTTGACTTTTAAAGGTCAAAAAAGTCCACATTTGGAGGATGTAAGGGTTAACCGTATCACCCGTCACACCACAGACACAGTTTGAGTCGTACACCTGACAGATTTTTACACTTCATTTGTTTTATTTAAACAATTCAATCGTTTAAAATAAACGTAATTATCATTAAACTGACTTGGTTAGGTTTATGTATTAGTTTAGAGCAGCGGTCCCCAACCCCCGGGCCGGTCCGTGAGTCGTTTGGTTCCGGTGTTGTGCCAAAAAGTGATTGTCTGCCAAAAAGTGATTTCCGGTATTTGCCAAAAACTGATTGCTCATATTTAAACTGCTATAAGTAACTTGTTGGGCTATAATATGTGAAACATATGTTAAATGCATCCCTCATGGATGACATAAAGTCATATTGAGCCACAAACAACATTCGTGTAACAAGGTAGAAGCCGCAATCAGTTTTTGGCAGTGACTTTTATATAACCTTTATTTATGCAGTTAAAAAAATCTCTTTAACATTAAAAATGTATTTTGTCAGATTAAGCTGGCCAAGAGGACAGCAGAAATGGCAGCAAATATGACAATAGTTCTGTAAAAATATTTTAAACGAGGATAAAGGACCGGATTGGTTATAATGTAAGTACAATAACACAGAGCTGTAAAGATACTTGAAAAAACAGATACTTTTTAAATTCTATATAATCCCTTTGTAAACGCTGTTCACCGAAGTCTATTTACCAACATACATAAAGATATTACACATAAAAAAAATACACGGAAACATTGGAAATCACTTTTTGGCACAACACCGGTCCTCACAAGTTAAAGCTCGGGTGTGAAGTTTATGGTTTTCAGGGTTTTTATCGTTAACTCCTTGGGTCTTTGTAGTTGTGTGTCTTATTTTGAAAGAAATATTTACATGTTACCATAGCGTCCAGAGAGCGTTAAAGGGCAGAGGGGAGGATGTTACTCTCAATGTTGTTGGCACATTTTCAGGAGG